AAAAGGTTTGAAATAAATTTTTTTTAAAACTTGTTAAATTATTTTTGGTAAAAAAACCAAACTCATATAATACATGTATACTTTAAATTAATTTTCCTTATATTTATTGACGACTTAAAGATAAAAAATCATTCAGAAAGAAACCCATGTGACTTTTTAAAATTTCAAAAAATTCCTTTTTTTCCCAGAGAGAACAAATGCCGAAAAAAAGGATTATGACAGGGGATCCCCCTTGGGGCCCTTATTTTGGGAGCTTTGGCCCAAAAGAAACCTTTTTTAAAGGGACCTTTTTACGTTTAAGCTATTTGCATGTTCTTTATTTAAAGCAACAAGATAAAAATTACAACAATATATCGCCTTATCTTATTCCTAACTAACGTTATAGTCTATAGGGGAAACAAAGGCAAGGTATCCACATGTTATCTAAAATAGCAATACCACTATCAGTTTCAATTTAGCTTATCTAACAGTGATAAAACGCATTATTATCGCCAACCATATGTTCACATGAAAAATTAAGACGAACTTACTTATGGTAATACAAACTTTCTGAAACAAATAGAAAGTATTCGTAATTCGCTTATATGATTAGCTGAATATATGGTAATAGGTTTCTTATCTGCACCAGTATTTTTGTCCTGTTTATGTCTTGTTCCTTTCTTATATGCTGTTAATGCTTCTTACAGATGCTAAGTTAATGTGTTATACTATATAAAACTAATAAGAAAATTACGTAATTACGTGGTAAATATATACACGTACGTATTAATAAATTTACATATTATATGCAAATACCATAGAAAATGTGACATATGCCTCAATAAAACTATCAAAATGGCAGTTATTCTAAATCCGGATTACTAAAATCTTGGCAAAAAATAAAAATAATACTTTCTGAGAAACAAATTCGTGTAACAGATTGAATGTTTTGCAGATTTAATCGTTTGTAAGAATCTGTTCATTTAATAGCATTCTCTGCTTCAAACATGAAGGTAAAACTTCTATTTGGATGTTTTGTGCTTGCAGCATTATGTCATATAGGATATTCGTGTTCCTGTTTTTTAACCCCGTATCAAAACACGATATTTGGGGACCCGAATTTTGGGAAGTTCTCGATGTCCACATTTTGGAAAAAGATTTTCATTAAAAATAATTCCAAAAAAAACGCTAAATGCTAAATGTAAATTTACTTATTTGACCCCCTTGAGATATAAATCCATCAATTTCAAAAATATACAAAAATTTCGACGCGATTCATTTCCAAAACATACAAAGGTTTATTTTGTCAAGATAATTTAGGTAAACCCTTTAAAACACATCCTCTAGAGAGTCAAATATTTTAATAAAAACAAATTTAGAAAATTTTAACCCGATGTAAGGAAAAAAAAAAAAAATGCAAATAATATTTTTCATAAAATTTTTCGATTAAAAGACTGAATTTTTTTCAGTAAATTTTTAACTCAAAGTCCCAATGCCCTTTAAACAAACGCAAATAAAGACTTTTTTTAATATTTGACCCCTTTTTGGTAAATTTTTTCGTTTTTAAGTGCCCCTTGGGTGATTTTGACTTCCTTCCCTTTTGGGGGCTTCAAAAATATAAAATCAAATCATTTCAAAATTTTTTAGAAAAAAAGCTGAATCCTTTGGGGGCCGTGCCCGCTTTTTTAAAGTCCCCAAAGCAAAAAGTTAAAAAATAAAAATAAATTTTAAAAGAAAAAGAAAAAGCAATTTAAAAATCACTTAAAAAAACGTAAAAAGACAAAAATTTTAAAAAAAAGCAAAAAACCCCGTTTTTATTTCTTTTTCCTTTGGCCCGGAATTTGGAAAAATTAAAGGTTTTCGAAAATTTGGGCCCCCCCCCCCATCGCCCTTTTTCTTAATATGAAATGATAAAATTTTAAATTTTGAAACATCTGTTTTACTTTATTCAACATTTTTAACAGTGATGAAAGTGCGGGTGAAAAGCACGCTGCAAAATCCGAGCGGGCTAGAAGAGGATGAAAACGACTATTTCAAAATAAAGATAATAGGAAGTCCTTGGAAGGTAAACATTTAAAAAATAATGTGTCATATGTTCCTGTTCGAAAAATATATTGTGTCTATAATGATATTTGCATAATATTTTCTTACAATTTTAGACAAGTGGGGTCTATTAAATGTTTTTAATTATTTTATGTTTATTTATGACGAATTCCGTCTGGAAAACGTTTTCTCTTCCAAAACAAAAAAAAATAATAGAAAAATAATTTCATTTCATAATTGTATGCATAAGAAGAAGTCGTAACAATTAGTTTAAATGAATTGTCATTTGCGATAATATGTAGTACATTTAGAGTATAGCTAATTTCTATTTTCAGTTTTTAAAAAAAAAGGAAAGAGTTTTCAAAATTTGAAAAAGCGTACACAACCCTTTAAACAATTGATATGCGCTGTGGGGGGTGCATCTTCAAAAAGGAAATTTAAAAACCTTATATCAGGTTTTTAAAAAGCTTCAATATCATGGGGTTTTTTTGTTTTTATTTTGGGTTTAAAAGTCACACCGACACAAATATGGGCCCTTTTGGCGACCCTTTTAAAACCTGGGGAGGAAAAACCCCCGGGTGCCCCCTTCCCCAGCAAACAAATTTTAGGCACGAAGGGGACCTGATCAGAAAAAACATATTTCCGTTTTTTGCTGGGATAGCTTCCCCAAAGAAAAAATCCCTGGCGGGATTCCCAACCCAAAAAGCGGTAAAAAGGGGAAAATTGGTTTTAATCAATGACCCTTTACCAAATCACTACGGAAAGCCACCCCTTTCATTTTTTTTTGAAAACCAAAATCCTATTAAATTTTAAATTCAAAGCATTTCTTTTTATAAATGACTAAAATATATCCAGACATTTGTAGTATCGTATAAAAATATAATGATGAAAAGAAAAATGTAAAACTGATTTTTCTTTTATCTTACGCCCCTTGGGGCTAAGGGGTTGTGTTTAATGATAAAACGAATCATACGAATCATACGAATTGTAGAAACCATTAATCTCTGTATGATCGTTTGAGTTCGAATAACTAACTAGAGAATATGCATCTCATAGCTCCTGCAGGGGAGATGGTTTTGTTTTCTGGTGTTGTTTTTAAGTAACATCGGAAGTTAGCTCAAATCATCTTTTTTTGGCGCTGTGTTAGTGCGTCGTCAAACGATCCAACTAACCAACCAACTAACCTTACATACCTAATTTGTCAACGGAGTGATGTAAATACCAAAGATTGCATATAAGCAACAACTTTAATATAACTAACTAGAGTATATGCATCTCATAGCTCCAGCAGGGGAGGTGGTTTTGATTTCTGGTGTTGTTTTTAAGTATGTAACATCGGAGGTTAGCTCAAATCATCTTTTTTTTGGCGCTGTGTTAGTGCGTCGTCAAACGATCCAACTAACCAACCAACTAACCTAACATACCTAATTTGTCAACGGAGTGATGCTAATAGTACCACATACTTCCAAAGATTGCATATAAGCAACAACTTTAATATAATTATCCAGCAGTTGGTTTGTAAGTAGGAAGCAGAATACAAACATCTTTAAAATTTGTTCCAGGTCAGGTAGATGGAGACAAAATGAGGATCGACGAATGCAGATCTATCGTGGAAAGAACAAGATTGTCATCATCTACAAGGAAATTGAAATTGAATCCACCAAAATGTGCCCGAAAATCTTTATATGCATTCAAGGCCCATTCGTCTGACATATATCAGAGATCTACGTAATGCCGTCGATATGCACAACTAGACTTGGTAATGACCATTCCTAAAATGTGTGGATTAAATTGTATAAGTATCTTTTGACGAGGAGGCCGACGAACGGACAGAAGGACAGATGTTTTTTGAGTGCCGATATTGATCACCATTTTGCAAGCCAAAAAGTAAGTTTACCCCGATTTGCAAGCAAATTCCCCTTTTGATCGAAACATAGATACAAAACAGTTAGTTTGTTTGTCGAATGTTCAATAAAGTTTATTAACTACGACTTAGTTTCATTTACATTTATTAGATCTATTAAATGAGAACGATACAATATTTGTTTATTGTTCTAGTGTTAAAGCGTAGATTAAAAGCATGTTTTAGGAAAAATCTAACTCCACATACCTATTCGAAAGTGTCAAATTTTAATACCAATTCAGAAGTAGCTCCACGTCACCTAAAAGCTCACGATGACAAGAAAGCGTAATAACAGCAGACAACACTTGCCACATATACATACAAGGTTTGTTACATGGAAGTTCCATTAAGAAAGGAAATTTTAAAATCAAACAATTGCAAAGAATATTCTATATAACAGCCAGTTTTTTTTATTTTAATATTTTTTCTTTCGAAATGAAAACATGCACACAATTACAATACACATACTTATACATTGCATTTGAATTTGAGTAAAGAGTAAAAAACAGCTTATGCTCTCCTCTATTTGTTAAAATATCTATATCATATAAGATTTGTGTAGTACTATTTCTATAAGAATTATAAACAATCTTAACATTTAAGAACTTGAAAAATTTTCTTCTCTGGCGGAAAAAGTCATGTTTCGTTAACGTCGCCATCATGTTTTAGCGACATAACCCACGTCAGAGTTTCCGGAAGTTACTGTAACTTACAAAGCGTTAACAATTTGAAGAAAGTAACGACATTTCTAGTAAATACAATTAAAACAGTAAATATTCCGGCATTAATTAAAAAATCAAACACCAATGTTGAGAATAAACGATATTACAAGATAACATCGCATTTCTTCTTCGGTTTTCTAAATTCTGAACAATTTCTAAAATGATAGAAGTGAATTTGTATCTGTGACCTGACGGTAGCTGTGAAATAATAAATAATCATAATTACAATCAGACAGACGTACTCGAGTCTGTCGTTTTCGACAGTATTGTCTATTTTTCCACCTGTTGCATTCTGTCACGTGTCTTCGTCGGTCTTGTTTGAGGAGAATACGAGCATATGTGTGAACTAAGAATATCGTAATTATATTTTTATTCATCATTTATTATAACCATTTTCAGTTTACTTACAATCATTTTACAATCTTTTTTCAAATATATTTACGTATACATCATTCTTTTGTAACAGTAGCATTTTAATTAACACAAATGCAAATAAATTAAAATGATTTAACTAGCACAGTATACGTCAATTAAAGAAGTACATGTGTGCAAATAATTTATTGCTTATGTTTTGCTGCAAGAAAGTGATATATGCTAATCTAAGTGCTGCACTAACGATAAGTTTATGTGTGTAAACAAAAATATCAGAAGCGCCCTCGTTCATGTTTTGAGAAACAACAAAATTGTTGTTATTGATAAACGCATGGGGGTATAAAGCCCCTACATCCTAAATGATCTAAAGATCCCTATGAACAAAAATTGTTTCTTAATCTGAAGAACGTAGAAGGTATCCGGAAAACGTTGAAAGTCCACTACCGGCGAGTTTTCCTGACTTATCCGATTTCACAGCAACAACATCACCTTCCTGTAATGAAACAACTGTCGTGCCGCCATTTTGACTGTACCCACAATATAATCGTTCACCAAGTATTGTTCTCTCTCTATGATCACATACACTGTTGAGAAGGTACTTTTTGCCGCGTGATTCATTGGCTATTTCAAGATAGGCTTCAACATAGCTTCCTCTCTCACATGCAATGGTCAGTGCGAATATATAAGTCCCGGAACGTAAACATATAAATTCTGATGACCTCTCATCAAATGCTATGCCAATATTTGTGATGTCTATTTTAAATGGTATATGCTGGCCCGTGTTTACGGACACGGCGTTGTATAATGTTGAGTGAAAGCCTACCTCGCCTCCTGTATAAAAGGAAAACATATTTTACGCACTTATTTCCTATTATATCAAAATTATACAAATAATTATTAAAAACGAAACATTCATTAAGTTAATATTATCAGATTTGTCAACATTTTTAAACTGATATTAGTCAAATACTTGTTCATTACTGGGTCGTAAAATATATGCATTTTATAATTAAGAGCGATCGGTGATCACAAACAAACTTTTTGTCATTCATGAAGAACTGAAAACTTATTAATTAAGCGAAAGTAGTTTAGGTGTCGATCAATTCTTTAAATTTCACTGAATTTACATTTGTATTATAAGTGAATTAGTCAGGACAAAACCTTATGTGCATTCAAGGCCCATTCCTCTGACATATATCAGAGATCTACGTAATGCCGTCGATATGCACAACTAGACTTGGTAATGACCATTCATAAAATGTGTGGATTAAATTGTTTAAGTAGCTTTTGACGAGGAGACCGACGAACGGACAGAAGGACAGATGGACGTGTAGGTTACCAGGTGCCGACTACCCATGATGATGATGGAATGTTAAAATTACCGGACTCTTATTTGAGTGCCGATATTGATCACCATTTTGCAAGCCAAAAAGTAAGTTTACCCCGATTTGCAAGCAAAATTCCCCTTTTGATCGAAACATAGATACAAAACAGTTAATTGGTTTGTCGAATGTTCAATAAAGTTTATTAACTAGTTCGTTTATTGCTAAATATAATTTGAAAATACCTGAAATTCCCTTTTAAGGAAAATCGAAGGAAAAACTGCCCCTTCCAACATGTACAGTTCCCCAAATGCAGGCAGATAAGCCTCAGTAATATCAATGATTTTATGTGCATACTGTTTGTGAAAGAGGTTGATATTTATTTAATTTACAAAACCGCCCTTTAAACTGATTTAATTTTAAGTTCATTTCATAAAGAAACCTACCTGTATACAACAAATCTATATAGCCTCTCTTCTCCACATTAGGTAATAGATTTGTTCCAAATTCTAAGTAAAAAAGAAAAGCTCATAATTAACATTTGCACCTTGACATTAGCAAAATTGTAAAGGTAATTGACACCTTTATATCTACACAAAAATGTGTGAAATCAACAGTAATGAGTCCAACTCATAAAGACTGCAACATGTAAAAAGTACATGCATACCAAGCGCTTGGGCAATTAAGCTATTCCTCATTTAAAACTAAACAAAAAAGGGACTTTTTTACCACAAGGAAAAATGGTTCCATGCGGAAATCAGTAAATATAATACATAACACCGGATAGCAATCTTAAACGAACTAAATATTTTCAATATACCAGAAACTTAATTGATTCAGCTATTTGGTATGATAATAGCTCCCTAAAACATCGAAAACGGAAGTAAAAAGGTGTACGCCTAATTCACCCAAGGTAATGATTAAAAAAATTCTCCATCAAAACTTGATCGATTTTTCCAAACTAAAATTTTTTTTAAGCTAAAAACATCTGGTTTTTGAGAAGTATTTGCTTTTTCTGCAAATTGAATACCTTTTGCAACATTGGCGATAAATTGTAGCGTATTTGCTGACATTTGCGAACGATGTTGATACCCACCATTAAATCAAAACCAAAACGCATTTTCTTTATCAAAATCTGTCTTTTTTACAAAACATAACCTTCCCTTTACTTGTATTTGAGTGGTCAATCATAAACTCGAGCTGCTTTTAGCAAAATTTGCGAAAAGCAGGCATGTCTTGTGCACATAGTCTAGCACAGTTTTGTACGGGGTGTAGATGGAAAACTGTTAGCGAGTGTACGGAACGAATTTTATTTTCTGCACAAAAAATTCCGAGCATATACGTACGCTGAAGAAGGAAAAGCGATCGATGTCGGATGCAGAGATCATACAGTGAAACATTTTAATATTTTTCAAAGAATGAATAATGTTAAATAAGAAAGTTTTAAACACTAAATTGTATATCCGTATCATGAATATTAATGGTATTAGCCCGTTTCCGTTCTGCTAGACAAATGTTTATATGTGCCTTAACGTCAATTGGAAAAATATAAAACTCAGAAGACCTTATTTCATTACAAAATAGTAGAACTTTGCAGTAGAATTGTATAATTTGTCTAAAACAATAATAAGTATAGTCAAATAACTGTACATTTTAGAACATTTCAAACACAGCCAACTCTTGAAGCAATTTTGTTTATTTCATAAAAAATGTACAATACATTTGTAATAAACATTACAACAAATTACATTTAAAAAGCAAGAGTGTGGGATTCAGCAAATGATATAGAACAGATCAAATTGCATTATGTGATTATGTCACTAATAGTTGGCCTGACTCACTTCTATATCATTCTTCTAAGATAACTTGAGATAACTCATAAGACTCATTTCTACGAAGGCATTTGGTGTGAATGTGTCCATATTGTATTGCTCATATGGGGAAGTAATAAGGTTATCACCTAAAGTTATCATCTTATTTATTTGCTTAAGTTCGTCCAACATTGTGTTGATTCATTTGGGTCAGATTTAGTTTGTTAGGGTATGTAGACATGTGTTTCTGTTCCTTTGGAAGTGTCAAATCTCAAGTTATTTGCCAGCCTCATTTCACAAAAATAATAAAAAAATAACAAAAACATACTATAAACAATACATGCATTGACTAGATTTGTTTTTGATCCAAATCGTGTCCTACTGTTTTTGTTAGAAAGCAAATGGTTACATTGAATGACACATTCCCATGTTATAGTATAAATTTAAGTAATTATATAAGTTAACATTCACGTCTTTGTGTCATTCATTACATCAGAATAACTGTCAGCTCATAAAAGACTATAAACTTTAAAATATATGGGACTAAGACACCGGACACATTCTATTAATCCTTGTTCATTAAAATACTACTCCAGTTCACTAAAACTTGTTTTTCTTGCTAGACACTGTACAAAAGACAAGATTCTCTTAGCAAATTTGCAAGAAAAAGGAAATAATGCTCTATAACCAGACATATTCAGCTTCACAAAGTTATTTAGTTTGGAAAAATCGATTAGGTTATGATGGAGTAATATGTTGAAACATTACCTCGGGTGAATTCGATGTATACCGTTTTACTTTCGTTTTCGATGTTTCAGGGGCTCTTTCCGGTGAACGCTGTACAACAGTGAACATGTTTTGGTTATATCTCGTTAGTCCGTCAACCTTACTGGCCTTCATTGATAAGTTGCCAGTTTTAACCCATTTTGATGCAAGTGATATACTATTAATCCGACAGATTTCTTAAACATCTGTGAAAGACATGCGATCCTGAAGAAAAAAATTCGCATCGTCTGAGGACCAAACAAGAGGCTTATAAATATGATCCTCTTCCTACAGACATAGGCTTAGCTTGGAGAAGAAAACTAGTATACCTGTATTTGAAGCTTGTTCTTGTGCAAGTTTTCTAAGCAGGAGTTTGGCAGTAGTTTCGAGATCTTTTATTCTGGCATGTAACTCTTCTAGAGTTAAACCATCATCCTGCTGGCCGTTACAACATGCAACTCTCATCACCAAAACAACATATATCAACCAATATAACATCGTTGAAGACCTGAAAATAAAATTTGCGATTTACGTCTAAACCATTAAATTTAAAATGCTTACAAAGACCAGCCAGGACACTCTAAACATAAATATATTTAAAAATGATAAAGAAATATACATTGTACTAAGGCTAGTATTGCTAAGAAATAAATTGAAAATCGTATTTTTGCGTTGCCTTACCCGATTTGAGCGAGAAGCCGAAAGAGTATTAAACAGATATATTAAGCTTCCTACTCAACCCGTTTAACTCTTTTATGTACTTTATTATATAAATATCAAGATGATAAATTCATAGTGTATTAATTAAGAGCGATGAAACGATTATTGAATTTTAGATACGAGTATTTCTTATTCGGAACTCAAATAACTATTATGGAAACACAAAATGAGCTTATGTTCTTGAATTTTATTTGATATGCCACATTATATGTAGTAATGTTAATGTCGTTTTGGCGTGCTGTCACCTTCTGCGCAGACGATGCGTTGAATGTAAAGGACGGAACGAGATGACGCCAAATACAGGACGCCAACACGCCGAATATGGGGCAACAGTACGATATTTTTATCTTCGTGATGTCGCATTAAAATATTGTATCGGCGCTTTCATATTTTCGTTCTGTCGTGGTGTAGCTTTTGTACCGTGCCGACACGAAGTAACGAAGGAACGATAAAAACAGTGCGACAAAACGAGAATTTATAATTTTGGCGTTATTCTGCACGCTTGTATTGTCGCTATTTATTGGATAATAGTGACGTTTATATACACGCTCTTAAAAATTTATGACGAAATAATGTTTAATAAGGTTATATGGCCGTATATAAATGGTTGTTTGCAATATTACCCTCGTCTGGTGGCTTTGGTTAAATTTATATTCACAAAAAATGTTATACGGGGACATATAGCCTGTCAAATTATTTATAACCTATCATATACAGTGTAACTTCCAAATACTGGTATTTCTGAAATCCGGAAACTTCTAAAATCCGAACATTTTTTCGGTCCCAATTTTCCCTTCTTTTTTCTATTTATATAATACTTCTGAATTCCGGAACTTCTTAAATCTGAATTCCGGACGATATTTTCGTAAAATTAGAGTCAAATCTTTGATATTGAATTTCTCCAGAATCATATTAATATGCTCTCATCAGATTAAGAATAACATGTAGAATTTGAAGGTTTTAATACACAATGTTTTTAATTGACAGAAACAGACTTTAGTCATAAACTACTTAATGATATTGACAATACTATTGAAATCACCACGCAATTACGACCACTTTGTTTAAACTGAACTTGTAAAAAAAACTATTCAATAATGCATAACAAAACACATGAAAAGTAAAAAAAAATTACAATTATACTGAAAAAATAAACTAAATTGAAGAATTTTCTACCTTTAGTTTCAAACAATTTTATGAAATTGTACAATTCAATTTTTCATTTATTTTGTTTTCAACTTAATTTTCTTAAACCATTTAAAATGATCATTGCCTTCCTGTATTTGTGATTGTACAGGTTTCTATGTTACCCATATGATGATATATACCTGAATATTCTCTCGTTCTCTTTCTTTATTCGTGATGTTTTTGTTTAATATATACTTGCGTTCATAAAACTGACCCTTAATTAAGGTCCTTGATGATAATACTCAGAAATAAACATCCGACTACATAACTTTTAAACAAATTTTATGAAAAATATTAAATTCCGGTCTATACATTTAAACCTTTTCTAGGATGTAGATTTTTCAACAATTCTTTCCGAAAGGAGATACAAGATTTGATTTTTTTCTTAGTTCGCCACTGCAACCTGCTTTCTCTACAGAGAAAGGGTAAACTTAATTAAATCAGGTCCTTGATGTTTTTGAAAGTGTTAGCAGTTTCATATGTCGATTTTCTGTGGATAGTTGGTTTTAAGTCATTTTTCGTACACAGGAAAAAGAACACGGAATTAAATTATATTTTTGAAACAGATTTTACAATAAACTTACTCCCAGTCGTATAAAACTAAATTTCTTATTGACAATTTCCCAATTTCTATAACATTTCAACGACGGGCGTACGCAGTATCCAGAATCAAAATCGCATTAACGTGAACTACTGAAGAGAAAGGGAAAAGTTGTGACAAGGCATTTTGCAATACAAAATCTAGATGTAAGCACATTTTTTTGCAAAAGAAACTAAATTCATTCAATTCTGATCGTTTTTAATGACTCGATTATGTTCAGAATACCGGTTGATGAAGTTTTTGCGCTATCAGAAAGTTGGGGATCCGCGCACATCGTATGTCCCTCTTGATTTATAATGAAAAAAATGCTAAGGATAAATAACTTTCTAAATTATAAAAATACTGCCTCAATAGATAAAACAGAGAGATACAACAAACTTCATATTCGAAGGAAAAATTAAAAAAGGAAAGAATCTTCTCAAACATAAAAAATTGACAGACATATGATATTTTAATCATTATTATCGCTGTATTATACATAATTCATACCATATGTTTAGAATTGACATACAAAAATAAATTTAACTTAAGCTTAATAACAAGACTACACAATGTATTGACACAATTTCGTGTGTAGTTCGTAGTAAAAATAATTTAAAATAACATAATGGCTATCCAAATGTTCAAGGCGGGTGAACAGGTAGGATTTTTAATTTTGCTATAACTGTGTTCAATTTTATTTTAAATTGTGCAAAAATTATAGAACAAAAAATGTTTATATGTATTTGCAAAGACAGGTGAAATATTCAACAATATACAAAGACATTCAAAAGCCCAAGATAGCTCATTAATGAAAATATTTACTTTAAAGTGACTTAAACTTATATAGTTCATAACGTATTATTAATCATTTATAGTTAATATCTTATTACGTATAACCTCAATAGTACCGAATATCAATGTATGAATATATCATTTAAATTTCCCTGCAGCCATGTGACTTAATTGCGTGTCTGTTTTTGTGATTAGGTAATTTGTGGTTTTCCGTTAGTTTAGAGTCTCATTTAAATTCTGTCTATCCTAAAATATGGCCCATCAACAATATCTAAAAGTCTGTAATTGTAATAGACTCATGAATATGTATTAAGTACAAAGCACATTATACGTACTCCGTGATGGTATATGATATCATGAAATGGAATAGGATTTTCTTAATGTCTCCATTTCATTTGTATGATGCAAAACTCATGATACGATCAGCAATTGACTTACTATAAACATAAAAAGGACATGATAAATGAATGACGTCCTTGGAATTATAGATGGAAAAATGAAAATGTCATAAAGCAAACAACTATTACGAAACCTAATTTAAATAGACTTAGCTGGTCTAAACAGGGTATTATTTATGTACTTTATTGTACATAATTTTCAAGCAATATATCTTCAACAAAAAAGGCTATTCCAACAAACATATGAACAAATGGAAAAAATGGTAAACATTAAAACTACCTGAAATATTTTAATCGAGGTTTGAGGGTTTTTCAGTAATCACGTGTACGTAAATGACTGAACAAAAAATATTGGTCGTTTACATTGATAATAAGAAGACATTTATCGATTTTCTATTCTTACACCTTTTTAACATAGATAGACAATTAAATATGATACTACGTTTCTACAACAGTCATATTACATACATAACAATATAAGGGGTGCAACTCTAATAGGTAATATAAGCAATTGTAATAATGAGAGAAGAGACTAAGGTGAGTTGCATTCTTTAAAGAAAACCTGTATTACATATTGAAACAATGTTTATCGTACGACGTTTGGCTTCTAGACACTTGTCTAAACCTATTATAACGTCCTTCTAAAAATATTTTCGAATTGACTATTGCTAGGAAACAAATGGTAACAGTCACTTAACCTACCACACAAGTGGTGTTACTTTGTTGTTGTTGTTGTTGTTTATTCTTTGATTTTTTTCAAAAACTTTTAATATATTTACAAAAATGTTTCCTAAACCTTCCTTTTTTAGAACATGTTTGACTATTTTCCTGCTAGGAGTAACAGTTTTATAATTTTCAAGGAAACTTACTAAATTTAGGCGCTGAATTTTCATTTTTGAAAATAATGATACTTGTCATACAGTCTCTTGTAAGTTGTTAAATAATTATACTTCGTTTGACGAACGGAGAAGATATGTTAAGATTACATAGTGTCATTTATAGACAGTTATTTTTAAAACAGACCAAATAAATTTAATCAGTAATATGTTATCAACTTCCCAAACAAAGTGTATGCATTTTCAAATTTAAACTAGAAATATTTTTTTATATTACAATAAATTTCTTCAATACAAGTATGGTAAAAAGTTCTGTTTACGGCGCCTCTGCTATTCACATCCTTTAATTTGCCGACGCATTTTTACAAGAGCAAAATATGAGATATGTTTTCTTTTGGCGTAATATTATATACTATATTAAAAATAAAAAAAATAAGAACTGTGCAAATTACAATGATAAAGAAATCGCGAGCCGGTAAAATACTTGAATACAGGCATGCTATAAAATTATTTGTTTTATATTCATATTTATTCTTCTTATTGTAAGTTTAAATTGAATTTAAGAGTATAGACTTATGGTGTATATTAACATCATACATTTTTCTGTTTTGAAATAACCCTGGTTAAAAGTGTGTAAGCCAAACGTCTATGATTTTCGTAACTGATACAAAATATCATTGTCGTGAAATTCTGTATCCAAATGAGCAAAATTGATAATGTTTTAGCAAACTGTCAAAACTGTTAAAGGCAGTTTGAACCCTAATACTCATATGTAACTTTAAGTTTTAATATTAATTTCTTATTACAATGGTTTTCTGTTTAACTGTTGTCATTATCTCGTTATTTGATTTGTAATTTCAACAAAATTATCTCAAAAATATATACAAGATAAGCAAACCGTAATTACGAGATACATATTTAATCGATTGTTTATATTGTAGCCCGAAAAAAGACGTACGTAAAGAAGATGAAGTCAGACGTTCAACAGTGTCGGAAAAAAAATTGTTTTTAATGATAAAATTATAATAATAACAAAAACAATAATTCAAGTTTGCAGTCATTATTGCAGAGTAAATATTAATAGAGTAATATAATATTTCAGATACTTTATATTTTAATCGAAATATTTGCAATTTAAAACTAAACGCAACAATTAACTTACAAATAAACGGAATCTGAAATTCTAAATCTAAAACCAAAACATTATTACGCCAAATATTGTACAAATAAACAAAAACTAAAAAATTCAAAAATACGCAAAAACAGTTCGGTAGAGTTATATCACACACATTGCTAGTGCAATAATGTGGATGCTATTGATATATTTTTAAGAAAAATAATAAATACATATCCAAACAGCTTAAACTCTAGCAAGTTTTTTTTTCAAGTGTTTAAACAGATAAGTTAAATGATTCAAGACTTTTTAACCACAAGTGCTAGTTTCAAAATAATCATAAATAAATATATTTCTACTATTACATATATTCTTTTTGATACAAGCATTATAGTATAAAACTTTGTTTACTTTACGGTGCTATCCTAGTTTATCTACTTAAAATGTTCCTTTCGTATAATGTTATTAAAACATATACATTTGTAATATAATTTTTTCTAAAATGTTTTACATCTATAGATATATAAATACAAATTAAGAATAATATTCAGATAACTAACCTGTGTTTTTAAAATATCAGTACAGTTAACAAGCTTTTACTGCCTTTGAATACGCTTCACGTTTAAGAGATTTCTGATTTATTTAAATCGTCGACATAAAAGCCGATGCGTGTCACATGGTAATTTTATGATGAATAAGGATATTTCATAGTCCAGCCAATAAATATTGGAGGACTTGCATCATTGATTATCATACTTTTATTGGATTTATACTGTTAGGCATAAAATAAGTATTGTTTGTTTCCTCTCCCTCTACCTGCCCACTAAAGTCAGTGCTGCCTGAATTATTTTTATAACAAAAGTTTGATTTTGTTTCTGAAAACTGAAATCTGCCAAAGAGAATCTCTTCATTGATTTTGCACTGAAAATTTACAAACAATAGTGTATCTTGAAAAATTGTTTCAAGACTTTGACCACATGAACAGCATTTACAATAACATTTCTTGGAATTGTATATACAATATCTTCAAATACCATAATATGTTCAATAAAATAATAAAAGCAATTAAAATAATTTTTTTATCAACTTACCCAACCCATTGTATATACATGTCCGTTATTAATGTTAGTTTGCAACAGTATATCTCTCTTTGGTATATCAGTCACACAAATTTTAATTAATTTCAACGATTCCAAATATTTGAATGTGTCTGGTGTTACATCTGTTAAACAGATGCACGTGTTTACCATTCAAAAAGGAGAGGATCCTTTAATAATTCAATCATATCTTAAGTCATTTGCATTCAAAGCGAGCTTCGATTTTTATTTTATCTTTTCCTTCGCTAATAAATATAAAATTTTAATAAAACGCCTACAATTGATGAAAGTGAAATAGAATATTCATGTTTTATTCTCTAGAGGAAGAAGCAACTTCTTTAAGAGTTCATATTCATAAGAAACGTGAAACGTAACAGTGAATTGTCGATATAGAATATGAAAAGAAATATCAACATGGAAAGGTGGCATGCAATGAACGCTATATATGTTTTAAATCATCACACAACAAACACATACATAATATTCTATATGGCCAATATTATATACATTAAACTGATTTGAACTTAAACTCGTGTCACAAACAAAATACAAATTAAAAGTAAATAAGCCAAACTAAATTATGAAACCCGCCTTGTTAACTACTCAAGCCTTGTAACACCTCGTACATAGGTTCAGCATAGATATCACATAATCAGTGTATATTGACCAACAAATTGTGTCGTGCACTAACAGACCTATTTTAGAACTATTTTTATCAAACATACGTATGGCAATAATCAGTTTCAGAGGTCCAAACCAAAGAGAAATAAACGCTTGGTTTCTTACTTTAATATTTCTTTCTAATAACGTAACTGCACACTTTGATGTCAATATGTTATATTTTGAAAAACTTTTATAAATTAAAAATAAATATATATGACCTATTTAAACAATTTTGGATGTTTTTTTTTCGCTCGTATAAGCTTTAAAACTGTTCGTTATATACATTTTGAAATAATGTTGAAATTTTTATAATGGTGTGCAATCTTTCAATCCGTACATTGTGTAATAAAGACACATTTATAATGAATATCAAATTTAAAATTGATGTACTTGTTTCATTTTGAAATCGTCACGATCTTTGAATGTCGACCCATTGTATATACATGTCCGTTATAAATGTAAACTTGCAACAGTACATTTTCTTTGGTACATCAGTCACACAAATTTTAATAAATTTCAACGATTCCAAATATTTGATTGTGTCTGCTGTTACATTTGTTAAACAGATGCACGTGTTTACCATTCAAAAAGCGAAAGGATCCTTTCATATTTCAATCATATTTAAAGTCATTTGCATTCAAATCGAGCTTCGATTTTTATTTTTATCTTTTCCTTCGCTAATAAATATGAAATTTCAATAAAACGCCTAGAAATGATGAAATGTGAAATAGAATATTCATGTTTTATTCTCTAGAGGAAGAAGCAACTTCTTTAAGAGTGCAAATTCATAAGAAACGTGAAACGTAGCAGTGAATGGTCGATATAGAATATGAAAAGAAATATCAACATGGAAAGGTGGCATGCAATGAACGCTATATATGTTTTAAATCATCACACAACAAACACATACATAATATTCTATATGGCCAATATTATATACATTAAACTGATTTGAACTTAAACTCGTGTCACAAACAAAATACAAATTAAAAGTAAATAAGCCAAACTAAATTATGAAACCCGCCTTGTTAACTACTCAAGCCTTGTAACACCTCGTACATAGGTTCAGCATAGATATCACATAATCAGTGTATATTGACCAACAAATTGTGTCGTGCACTAACAGACCTATTTAGAACTATTTTTATCAAACATACGTATGGCAATAATCAGTTTCAGAGGTCCAAACCAAAGAGAAATAAACGCTTGGTTTCTTACTTTAATATTTCTTTCTAATAACGTAACTGCACACTTGATGTCAATATGTTATATTTTGAAAAACTTTTATAAATTAAAATAATATATATGACCTATTAAAACATGTAAATACGGTCTGGTCTATGAAAATCTGTTCGTTTTTTTCTTATTTGCTACTTAAAAGAATAATGCTTTTAGATTTTGATTTTTCAATTGTTACCGGCATACAGTATGACTGTGATTGAATTAAATATTGTAATCAAAAATAGACTTCGAATGTGTATCCGTCTATATGAAACTGAAGCGTCTGGAATGACATGCGATAAAATACAAAAAGAAATCCCTCTAGAACGCATAAAAGACAAACTTGAAACTGTTTGATTGAGCCTGAACATGGACGGTACTTGAAATCGCCAGCTAGCCGCCTAAAGCCGGCTTATTAATAATCAGAATTCAACATTTAACAATAATTGGTAGAATTTTAAACTTTGAAACATCCGCAGATGGCGGTCATCATTGAATATTCAAACTGATACGTTAGTGTCATTCCACGAAAAGCAACATTATGTTTTCCAAGTAAATAAAAAAGCCTTGATATTTGATAAGAGGATGTCTGAAAACTTTATAAATTATGCTAATGTGGTTAAAAATTGCCTTGTCCATGAGAAAATGATATTATATCCAAACAATTATAAGGCCTAGAGGTAAGGCAACTAGGATAGAGTTTTGCCTACAATTTAATACTTTACAAAAGTTCTTTGGGTCAAAAATGTTAACACTCCAAAGTTCTCGTTGCGACATAGATGTGTGCATTTAACCAAATATGTAAATCTTTTGAGCTTCTTTGGATGAATTTAACATTTCAGAAAGTAGTATTATTTCTCAAAATTTATCAACAAATAGAAAAAAATATCTAAATATTTAGAAATTCTTCAGAAAAAAATAAATATTCATAATTACAAATAAAGAATAAAAGCGGAGAAACAGCGTTTGAGCTATTTCATTTTTATTGATATTCAAAATGTCAATTGATGCTACATGCTCAATGTCAAAGATGACATGAACTATTTGTCATAATAAAGCTTTTCTGCTGCAATCTTTAATGAAGCAAATTTTACAGTAGACCTAATTGTGGTCGTTTAAAAGAGCAGCTTTTTGCATTTCTTATTTTAGACTGTTTTGATCAGAAAAAAAACAAACTTTACAAAGAGATAATTTTTCATTTAAACCCTTTCCAAGTCACTCAATTTTGGGCTTTGAAAGTGATTTGAAGTCAGCAACTTCAATCACTGATCGATGAAGCCCGTTCTGCTATTCAATTTTAGACAAAAACAGCTTAAAGTACTTAAAATAATGTAACATCTTCACCAGATTTACATTGTACTCATATTAAATAAAGCACATATCAAGACTTAAAATAAAGCATTAGGCCCATTTCATCAAAACGAACACATAGTGAATAATCAAGAACAATGCCTAAATGAACAGTGTCAATTTACAATTAAATAGTTTAAAAAACGTTTAAATTACGGTCACACCGTCATCCAGTAAATGACCAGTTTTATAAGCAAAAGAAAATTTAAATTTAAAGAATCAACGCATTGACTGTGCGCTTTAACTTTTTTGCAATTGTCGACTTTGTAGCAACGTTTGTACATATAAATGAAATGCCAAATGGAAACAAACGTCCCTTCTTCCAAACAATGCAGTACTGAGTGTGGTTTTTGTTTTGTTTTTAATTCCAACATCGCGTAACTACACATGTTGCGATATATGTATTTGGTGATAATAGTAAATAAATCATAAAACATTGAATATTCAAACATTTAACTGACGAACAATGATATAGGACATTTGTGATAATTCATTTATTCATATCATTATAATTATGAAAAGTATAGATTCAAAATGGTACAGAACCTAATTGCTTTATAGATATCATACTTGACACATAGTGTGTTTAACGGTTGTTATGGAAACAATCTTTCTGTCAAGCTTTGTGTAATAGGACATTAACACGGAAACTATTATTACTCAGTCTAGAACATGCATTTAATTGATGCATTGAGATGTGGGCACATGTAACTGTTTATAATTATACAAATTAATATAGATATTGTTTTATAATTAAATAAGGCCAATTAACATAGACTTATGTCTCAAATGTCCCAAACTGAATAGTTTCTTCTTGTTTTTAAGCCGGTGCTAGGGGGCGTTGACGGTAACTTGCATTTTCCAGTACCCAATCAATTTCAATAAAACCGAGCCTGCAACATTTTCAATGCTGTCGTGTTGGGCTTTCTTAAGGGATTTTGTTTTACTATATTTTATTGCCACAGGCTGAATAGATTCTGACGTATTATAGAACTGTTTTAAATGTTAAAGACTAAAAAGTGTTATCAATCACATAGAGATGTTTCTAATGTCTAAGATAAAATATTGTAAATTGTTCAAATGTCCCGGACTAAAAATCTTTTCTTTTCAGTCAAATTAAGATGTTTCATATGTCCTCATCTGATAAGTTTTTTTATTTACACAGACCATAATTACTTCGTGTTAAGTTTTTTCATAATTGCTTCAAAAGTCCCAAATTGAACAGCTTTCTTAGTAAATATGTAATATTTAAAATATCCCGCACTCCCTGAATTATTTCTTTACTAACATATTTAATGTTTAAGTTAACTTTTATCAGTGGCACAAAAATGTTTTCAATGTGTAAAAATCGGTGTTTTGCAGTGACATAAAAATGTTTCAAACGTCTC